GTTTTCTCTGCTCTTTCATTTATCTTCAAAAAATATCTTCTTAAATATTAAGGTAAGTTTTACTAAATTGCTGCTCTTTCTAGTTTAATTTCTCATGAATAATGGTTTCCTGTTACTTATAGAACTACTAGCAAATGCCTGAGTCTTTTATATAAGACTCATGATCAACCTCCATGATCAGGCTTAAATCCTCCAGCATTAAGTATACTATAAGATTTCATAAATGATTGGTTTCTGTATTCTTCACAGCACCCATGTGCTATAATGAGTGTTTGTTCAGTGATATGGAATAGAATGCAATGGAATGAAATGAAATGTCAGATCCTTTGGCAGAATTATACCTAAACCTTCTCTGTAACATGAACATGTAGATCATTTTAAAGGTCACCAGATGAGGATATTTCACAATCTTGGCAACCCAAATGTCTGCCTTTAACTAACCTTCAAGGAAAGCATAGGTGACTGAGCTTCTAAGAGGCTACTCAGTTTGTATTAATCAGTATTTCACATAGAACCTTCACTGAAGTCAGAATATAGAGTATATATTTACATATGCAAATTCTAGTAATTTGTGAAGTCTTTGTTGATGCTGTCACCAACGTAATGTATCTATGCACAAAAGTCTAAATCTCTCAGAAGAATGGAAAACCTAGGAAGAAAACTGAGCTTTAAACTTCATCCCAGTCTCACTGTGCCAGGAGACAAAAGATTTCATTGTTAAATATTTTCCTTTTGATAAAAATGTCTTCCAAAATGGCAGACTTCTTTACTATTAATGAAAGCTCAAGGCTTTTACTCCTCAATAACATCATGCCACTCCTTCGAGGGAAAAACCTTTCATTCTTTATCAACATCACTAATAAATTCTATCCCATAAGACAAAAATGACCAGCTAGAATTATATGTGATATATTTTTTCACAGGGGAATGAGAGGTTCGATTTGTTTACTCACCAGAGAGAATCACTCTTAGGTGCCTCAGATCTAAAGCAAACCTCTAAATACTCTCCCCAAAGCAATGTCTAAGAATGAATGGTTTATCCCAAATGTTGCAGCCAATTGAACTTTTCTCGGTTACCCAGACTAAAGGGTTTGGCTAGATTTAATACTAACCACCATATAGGATCAACTGCTTTACCTTACCTAATTGCCAGGTTCAGTAAAAGTGACTTATCTTCCTGGCATTTCACAGTGTCTGAATTTCTAGCCTGCCTCATAATAAAATGCTGTTGAAATGAAGATAGCAAGGGATCCTGTCACAGAATATACAGAGGCATATCTGTAATATTCACAGTGTACTTGCAAGATTTGCAAACATTTTAATCTTGCCCTCCATTTGAGAGACAGAACAGGCGACCTCTGATCTGAGTAGAATTTAAATCAATTCCCAGCAATAAAATCCGTATCTTTTCTTTAATTTTGTCATCTGCAATAATCTTTAAGAAAAAAATGGCGATAGCACAAGGATTTAATGTCTATTTACACAAAGCTAAAAATAAATATTAGAAGTTTGATGATACAGTAGATGGGAGTTGCTTTTGTGGGTACTCTAAGGTTACTGATGTATTTTGTTGTCAGAAGGAGAAATTTCCTTACTTTCAATGATTTACAATTCTTGGGAAGAAAAACTGAAAGGCGATTCAATGACTATATATATAGGGCTTTAGTTTGAACTCAGTTACCCAAAGAAGTAATATTTATTTTCTTTTGTTTTATGAAATGTGCCAAGACTAACAAAATAGTATTCCTTTAATTCTGTATGTATGTTCCTTTCAGTGTTAAAAGATAATATAATGTACATGTTTCATGTTTTAAATAAATTCAACTCTTTGCTAAATTGTTTGATGTTAAGTCACCTTCTTCTCACCAAAATTGTTCCCAAGTAACAAAAGAGCATTATCAATCTTCAAGACTTGAATATAAATCTTATTTTCTTTGTCTTAATTTTATTTTAAAAAACTTTTGTCCTGAAGAGTGCTCAAATAGTTAAAAGTAGGAGTTGGCCTTACTCTCTGAGCCAGCAAACCAATGCCTTCTGGCCTCTTTATGCTCTTTAAATAAATAATTCCTGGATGTAAAATGTTCCATAACCAACTTGCATATAATCCTGTTGCCTTCTTTTGTTTCAAATTTTTTCTTCAAGGCAATTTCATACTCATTAGAAATGGCATACTTTCAAGTAATGAATCATCTATTGAAATTTTATGACAATATTTGTCAAACATTTTCCATTTCATTCACAAAACACTTCAGGTACCTGTCAGAATATTAAGATCCTGGAGAGCTTGTCTCACCTAAATGAAGAGTCTATTCAGCATCCCAAGCTAAGAACTTCCTTCCCAGCTGCCCTAAGTTATCCATACTTAGCTGTGCTAACATTCTCCTTCCACTGCTCTTTTGGAGCTCTTCTTCCTGGCTTTCTCTTTACACTCCAGGCATCCGGCACCAGTGTCCTGCCTTCTGATGTTCGGTGTTACTTGGCCTAATCTTGGTCTTTTCTAAAATACTTCAAATTCCAAAAGTATTGGATACATTAAAACTATGACTGGAAGGAACACTAGAAACAAACTGACTCAACACTTTTCTTTCCAAAGTAAAGATATAGAGAACCTGGGACATTAAGTGATGTTGGAAAATGACAATACAGTTAGTGGTAGAACTGGAGCTCGAACTCTGGCTTCTAGTGGGACAAGTTTGTCTTGGGTTAGATTCCTCCAAAAACACATCTTGAGCAAAAGACTTGGGAACAAATGGTTTATTTGGAGGGTGAACCCTTAAGGCATTATGAGAGCATGGAGACATTCAGGAAGTTACCTTGTGTATATCTGGAGCTCAGTTCTACTGGGGAATCTCTGAAAGACTGTAGAGAATATATGTTAGAAATGTCCCACTATGGGACAAAGATTCTATGGGATTTCTCTATCGACTTTTACTCCTCATTGGCTAAGGGCAGCTCTGGCAGCACTAATTGCACCTCCTGTCCGCCTTCAAACTGGCTGAAATGCTTCTGCACCAGAAATGCCCTCAGGGAGAGAGAAGCCACTGCTGTACATCAACCTTGTTCAATCCATGACCCAGGATGGCTTTGAATGTGGCCCAACACAAACTTGTAAACTTTCTTAAAATATTTTTGCAATTATTTCTTCTACTTCACCAGTTATCGTTAGTGTTAGTATATTTTATGTGTGGCCCAAGACAATTCCTCCAATGTGGCCCAGGGAAGCCAACAGGTTGGACACCCCTGGTGTATATAGCCACTCTCTGCATGTAACTTCCAGTGTAGGCCAAGGGGAAAAGGGCAGATATAGTGTCAACCAGAGAAGCAAATGTGCCACAGAGCAAAAGTGGTACTATTAGAGAACTAGCACTGTACCTAACTTCTTCATCAGATGTTCAATTAGTATCTATGTGACAAGTAATCACTGTCACAATTTCTACCTAACTACACTACAGTTGATGTTTTTTTCCTGATGGCATAGCAGATGAGGATTACCATAGTTACAGCTCTTCTTAAATGCTAGATCTTCAACTGCTGTGACCAAAGGACTCCTGGGGGTCAGTATAGTAAGAGCTGGCCCCATTTGTCATTGAAAACTGAAGCTCATTAAACAAAAAAAAAAAAAAAAAAAAAAAAAAAAAACCTCTAGAACTTAGAAATAAATGTATCTTTTATTTGCATGGAAAACTGTAAAACTATATCTGACTGAATATTATAAAAAGAGAGAATCAAGTTAGGCAAAAGGCAGATTTAGGAAGTATGAAGTAAAGGAGCAGATATTTCCTTTCAAAGCCATAAATCCAACAACCACAGATCATAAGTAGAGTTGCCAGATAAAATAAAGGATACTCAGCAAAATGTGAATTTCAGATAAACAATGAATAATCTGGGACACACACTGAGAAAATTATTTGTTGTTTATCTGAAATTTACATTTATGTAGGCTTCTTTTATTTTTGTTTGCTACATATGGCAACCCTAATCCTGGGACACCTACAAAGGATCTTCTGTGTGTGCGTATCCTCATGAATTGAGCAGGAGTCTATTTCAACAATAAAACTCAGAGCTAATTGTAATATTTTATGGCATTGATTAAAATAAAGTACCCTCATAATTTTGGATCAGAAATATTATTGTAGAAGTCTCAATCACAGAAACAAAAAATAAATGCTTTCCGGAAGCGAGGGAGCGTAACTGGAAATGTACAAGTAAACTGAAGAAACAAGATGAAAAATATTAACATTTTTAAAATGTCATATTTTATACAAAAGCAATGCTTCAGACCCTCATTTATCATCAAGCTTGGCCGGCTTCAAGTTACTATAAATTGAATGTAAAATTACATTAAAAAATCATAGCCTTATTATTTAAATTTGTATTACAAGTAATCCCTATGAAGTTTTTCTTCCAGGAAAGCAAATTTTTAATAAATCACACATCCTGTACTGTTCTCATCCACAAATATGTTTGATTTCTTTTCCAAATACGAAAAGCCTAGTTATGTTATATTTTTTAAAAAACAACAACAAACGTCTTAATCCATTTTGTGCTGCTATAACAAAAATAACTGAGACTGGGGTAATTTAGGAAGAACGTAAATTTATTGTTTCACAATTCTTGAGTCTGGGAAATCCAAGATCAAGGTGTTAGCGTCTGGTGAGGGCCTTTTCAGAGTTTTCACATGGTGGTGCATGGTGGAGGGTCAAGAGACAGGAGAACACTGTGTGAAGCCTCTTTTATAAGGGCCTTGATCCTATTCATAAGGGAGAAGCCCTGATGGATTAATCACCCTTAAATATTCCACCTCTTAATATAATCACCTAAATTTTGGAGGGGACTCATTCAAGCTATTGCAACAAAGATGGTAAAAATAATTTTTAAACTATGGCTGACTTTAAGTTTTAATTTTCTCCCATCAACCATGTCATCTGTGTTATTGTGTATAGATAATATACACAAAGTTTGCTTTCTAGTAGAAAGCATACAACATAAGATACACCTACCTTATGTTGTTGTACTTGGCGTTTTAGGTCTTCAAGATCAGGTCCAAGGGGTTCTTCCTCCATTTTCCTTGTTCTTTCTTCTGTTTTTGTCAGCCAGTCATTCAACTCTTTCAGTTTCTGATTCTGGAGATCCATTAAAACTCTATGTAAACTGAAAATTTGAAAGAAGTCTATTATTATACCTCTTTTAAAACAACTTATTACTGAACATCGCAATGTAAAACAATAGAATTTATAATATAAGGAATGTTCACATTTGGGGGCATCTACTGGACATTGAGAAGGATGTAAGGAAAGCCCACTATCAATCGTCCCTGGAACTCTTATTTCTCAGACCTATAATCATTCACAAATCCTGATTTCTAAAAAGTTTCACATAACCAACTAAATGTGAATATGCTAACTGAAGTGCAAAGCATCTCATAACTGACTTAGTAATATATTTTGGCAGTTGTTCATTTACATTCTCATTATTTAATACGTGTGGTGGTTAAAGATGGCCACAAATTCTTTGTCCATCTTCCCTTCAAGAGATGAGGTCTATTTTCCATCCCTGTGAATATGATCAGGACTTGTGACTTTTTTTTTTGACCATAGAATGTGACATAACTGACACCACACCAAATCCAAGTGTAGGCTACAAAAGACCTGGCAGCATTTGTATTTTTCCTCTCTTGAAGCCTAGATTCCATGCTGTAAAGGAGGCCAGGCTACACTACTGAATCATTAGAGATCATATAGGAGTGATTCTGGAGGATGAAATATTATATTGGAAGTGAGCTTCCAGCTCATTGCAGCCCAAGGAGTGACCCCAGCTATAACACCAGTAATACAAAAACAACCTGGCTGAGCCCTGCTTATATTCTTGATCTTCAGAATCATGACGCAATTATAAATTGTTTTAACGCATTAAGTTTGGATGTCATTTGACACACAGAAATAGGTAAATGAAAGCATGCTTTTTTCCCCACAAAGATATAGAAAATAGTGGGCTGGGTAATGAATTTAAAGTCCAAAGGCCTAGGTTCACAGCCCAGCGGTAAGCTCTACAACCAGGTTCTTAAACGTTCTCAGTTACATTTCCAGCATCAGGGACATGGGATAATGCTTTGCCTATTAATTACACAAGTTTGTGTTGAGGATGAAAATACATTAAGGTTCTTTCATTAATTCAACCAAAATTTGAGATGTAAATGGGAAGCGTTAATGGTTATTTCAAGAGAAATAGTCTTTATAAATATCATGTTTAAAGTATTTTTCAAAACTATATTCTGAACATTGATCTTATAAACGGGATATAATTTGAATTAGGAATATATTATTTTGAATACATAACTGTATTCTAAAATCTTTAGTGGAAGTTTCCATTAATCACCACATTTAAACACACAAAGTGCACATATAGCTGAGAGTGTTTTTTAATAGACTTAATTTTTTGGTTTAGATTTACAAAAAATTAATGAGATTATAATACAAAGAGTTATCATATAACTTGCACTCAGTCTCTCCCATTTTATTAACATCTTATGTTATTATGGAACATTTGTTACAATTAATGAACCAATATTTGTGCATTATTATTAGCTGGAGTCTATATTGTATTCTGATTTCCTTAGATTTAAACTATTTTTTTTGTATTTCAGTATCTCTTCAAGGATTCCATATTACACTTAATTGTCCTGATTCCTTCATCTGCTTTTAGCTATGATAGTTTCTCAGAATTTTTCTGGCAGTTTTTAAAAGTGCTGGCCAGGCTGGTATTTTGTAGTATGCCTCTTAGTGGGAATTCGTCTGAATTTTTTTTCCTCATAATTAAACTGGGGTTTTTGAAAGACCACAGAGGTAATGGGCCATTTTAATCACATTTTATCAAGCATATATACTCTCAACATGACTTATCAATGTTAACTTTGACCACGTGGCTAAAGTAACAGGTGTCACATTTATCCACTATAAAGTTACTCTTTCCCCCTCCTTTTACACTATTTTTTAATAAGAAAGTCACTATACACAGTCCCCATGGAGTAGGGAGTTATATTCTCTTTCTGTGAGGGCAGAGAAGTTACATAAGTTATTTGGAGTTTTTTCTGCATTGGAGATTTGTCTCTATTCCTCCATTTATTTATGAAATTACTTATTTATATAACATGGCCTCATGTATAGTTATTTGATACTTTGGGCTAAATCCAGTATTAGTTTCTGCTTTGGATTTTTGCTCAAATAGTTCCAGCTTTGGACACTGGGAACTCCCTTGGTTGGCGACTGACATATCCCGTTAAAGTTTTTTGTTTAGGGCAGGGCTGTGGAGTTGAGCATGTTCTTGCTTTCTGGCACTACCAAATGCTTCAGGTTCATTTTCTATACTGCCTTTCTTAGTTTTAGAATCAGCCGTTTCTCCACAGTGTTCTAGCTTTTTTTTTGGGGGGTGGGGTGGGGAGTGTTACTGGAACCCAAGATCCTGTTGCTAGGTATGCTTGTTGCTTCTAGGGTGTTGTAGCTTACAGGACATCCGGGTTGACATAAAGAAGTGGATGTACAAGTGCGTACTCACCCATAAATACTTCTTTATGTAATTACCTCACCTGTAGCAAGCTAAATATTAATCTATCCATATCTCTCCATCTTGTGATTTCTGTCCTTTATCTGTGAACTACCTCTTCAACAGTAAGAATTTGACTTAAATTAGAAGTTGTTACAAGAAACTCAAAAATGATTTCTTTAAACTAGAAGCTGAGATGACCCCTTTTCCATGTTTGGCTCCTCGTGCTGCTGAATCCACAGAGAAAGGGGTTACCACACAGAACCTAAGCGCAAATGGTCAACTGAGTTCATCCTATACAATGCAGGGCAAGTAGGACTACATCAGAAAATTACAGGCATTTGCCAGGAGTCTCTTAGTATCCCCATATACAATAATGTTAACCAATAAAAGAATAAATAAATAAAAATTAAAAAAAAAAACAGAAGATACTCGATCGATATGGAACCACTAATAATATGGTTCTTTGGAAGGATGTTTTTGATTTCCCACTAAGGTGAATGGCCAGGAGTCTCTTAGTATCCCCATATACAATAGTGTTAACCAATTAAAAAAAAAAAAAAGCAGAAGATACTCGATCGATATGGAACCACTAATAATATGGTTCTCTGGAAGGATGTCTTTGATTTCCCACTAAGGTCAATGTCTGCAACTAGAAGAAATTCTGTCATAGTAACCAAGACAGCATTATATTAGCATAAAAACAAATTAATGGAACATAGTAACAGAACCCAGGAATAAATCCATACATTTGCATTCAACTGATTTTTGACATGGGTGTCAAGAACACACCATGAGGACAGGACACCCTCTTCAGCAAATGCTACTGGGAAAAGTAAGAATCTACAAGCAGAAGAATGAAATTAGACTCTTATCCCTTGCCGCATACAAAAACCAATTTGAAATGGATTAAAAACTTAAATGTGAGACTCAAAACTATCAACCTATTAGTAGAAAACATAGAGGACAAGCTTCATCACAATTATTTGGGCAATAACTTTTGAATATGACTTTAAAAGCACAAGCAACAAAAGCAAAAATAGACTGAGGACTTACACCAAACTAAAAATCTCTGCACAGAAAAAAAAATAAAATTGAAAATTAACAGAGTAAAGAGATAACCAATAGAATGAGAAAAATATTTGCAAACTATATATCTGATGGTGGTTCATATCAGAAATATATAAGAAATTCAAACAACTCCATAGCAAGAAAACAAATAACCTGATCAAAAATAGGCAAAAGACTAAAATAGACATTTATCATAAAAAGGACAAATGGATAACACGTATATGAAAAAATGTTCAACATCACTAATCATCTGGAAAATGCAAATTAAAACCACAATGAGGTATCACTTTACTTGCAAAGAAAAGACAACACTTACACACTGTTGGTGGGAGTGTAAATTAGTTCAACTACTGTCGAAAATAGTGTGGTGATTCCACAAAAACCTAAAAACAGAAGTACCATTTGACCCAGCAATCCTATTGTTGGGTATATACCTAAAGGAATATAAATCATTCTACCAAAAGGACATATGCACACATATGTTCATGGCAGCACTATTCACAATCGCAAAGAAAATCAACCTAAATGCTCATCAATGGTAAACTGGATAAATATGGTAAATACATATTGTGGAATACTATGCAGCCATAAAAAAGAATAAGATTATGTTCTTTGCAGGAACATAGATGAAGCTGGAGGCCATTATCCTTAGCAAAATAATGCAGAAAAAGAAAACCAAATATTCCATGTTCTCACTTGTAAGTGGGAGCTAAATGATGAGAACACATGGGCACATGCAGAAGAGATACACATGGGGCCTATTGGAGTTTGGAGGGTGGCAGGAGAGAAAGGATTAGGAAAAATAACTAATGGGTACTAGGTTTATACCCGGTGATGAAATCATCTGTACAATAAACTTCCATGACACAAGTTTACCCATTTAACAAACCTGCACATGTACCCTTGCACTTAAAAGTTAAAATATAACAATAATTAATGATATCCTTGCCAAAAGAAACAAAAAGAGAGATATCACCTCACTTTCATTAGCATGGCTACTATCCAAAAGATAAAAGATACATGTTGATAACGATTTAGAAAAAAAGGCACCTATTACGTACCTGCAAAAGTTAAAAATTACAAATTAAGAAAAAACGAAAACCTTTACACATTGTAAATGGGAATGGCAATCAGTATAGGCATTATGGAAAACAGTACGAAGGTTCCTTGAAATATGAATAACAAAACTACTATGTGATACAAAATCCCACTATGAATTATATATATAAAGGAAATTAAATCGGTATGTCAAAGACATACCTGCACTACCATTTTCATTGCAGAACTATTCATAGCCAAGATATAGAATCAACGTAAATATCCACCAATATATGAATGGATAAAGAAAATGTGGTATACATATATACAATGGAATACTACTCAGCCATAAAAAAGAAAATACTGTCATTTGCAACAACATGAACCTGGAGAATATTGTTAAGTGAAATAAGCCAGTACAGAAAGACAAGTACTGCCTAATCTCACTTATATGTGGAATCTAAAACAGCTGATCCCTCAGAAGTAGACAATGAATAGTGGTT